AAATGTACTCGCTTCGGCGAATCAAATTTACTCGTCGGGTTGTAACATCTGCACAGGGATGAGCGACTCCGTATGACGCAAACCAATCCGTGCGTTTATATGCCATTTGCCATTTGCAAGTGGAAGTTGCTATTTCGCTCCATCCCAATTCTACGTGGGTAAAGGATGTGGTTATAGCCGGACATCTGTTGTAATCATATCTCGTGCGCGTTATCGTCATCCATCCACACAGCTCAGGCTCCGTTCCCGTCGCCAGCTGTGACTACACCGTGCAGCTAATCACGGACTCCTAGTAGGTGGTTGATATGAAACGGGCCAGCCGCCTACCAAGTATCTGCTTCGCCTTTCAACCCCCTGGGTCTTTGACGACCCAATGTACGCCCGGATAGGGAAGCCCTGGGTACTCTCTCCATGACACATATTACATTAGGCGCGTGATCCGTCGAAACTTAGTTCCAGTGTTGTTCTTGGGAAAATGAGCGGTTACCTTACGTCTTTACTTGCTATGGACTAAAATTGCACATGCTTTACTGGCACATTCAACCAAGCGCTTTTCATCAGGAACGTCAGCTACATCGTTGTTAATCTGCTGATGTAGCTCCGGTGTAAGCGCTTCGGTTTTCAGTGCACTAGGTTTCAGTTTGGATGAGCAACTATCGATGATTGAGCTATGGTGTCGTTGCTGGACTCCCAACAAAGGGGGTTGCATTATATAGACGAAGAGATGACTAATCCGCTTTGAATACGTTTAGTTGTTTCCTTTGCAGAGACGCAGTATGGGGGCGCGTAGGCGGTCCGTCCAAGGCGGCACGTGACACGGGGCCGCATTTTCATTACCGTCGTATTTTGGATACCAAATATGATTGACAAATTATCCGGATAAGCTGCGTTTTGAATATTTTAATGTTACGCTGTATGATCAACAACACATTTGCGCCATGTGTCGCACTTGTGCAAACGTTCTTCCCAGTGCTCCTCTTATTTGTTTCATTGTGGTCACTTTCAATACATTCACGTCAAGGTCCCAAGCGCATATTAGTTTGCATCGAAAGCTGGTGTGCTCTTTACCGATCGTTTGGCCTTCACGCGCCTATGCTGCCCTCAGTAACAGTGATAATGTTACTACGCCCTCGAGTGGCAAAGTAGTTGACACTATCCACAGTGCAAAGTGGCCCATCAACGGACGGTATGTTCCTAGGCTGGTGAGAAAATTTGAGAAAACTGGGAGCGTGTACGTCGCCAAAAGACGTGGCGGCCTCACATCACCACGGATAACTTTTTCGCTTGTGTGGTTATTTGTGTGGTGTCCAGAAGCTGCGATCTAAGCATTCGTAAACTCGCCCAGCATTGCAACACCACCAGATATGCTGTCCATAGGGCTTTGAAGGAAAGGTAATTCCGGAAGTATAGCGCCCGTGAAGTGCAGGTTTTAAACCCATGTGATTCGGAGAAGAGACTTCATTTTTGCCGCAGGTTTTTAGTGTCATGGACATCCATTCAATTCTGTTTACCGATGAGGCTGCTTCCCCAAACAGTCATGCGCCAGTGACACCGAGAAGTGACGTACCATGACGAAGGATCATTGCGAGTCGTTAAGGTAACAGCTACGCAATGAAAAGGTTGTAATACTAAGACAAGATATGGGATTAGGTGTCGTCATAATGCAGAAACATGGCTACATCCAGAAAATGCAAAAATTTCTCGCAGACTAGTCGATTCGTTTTTATGTGACAGATAACGATAAAACCGAACATGTTATGAAATCGAACGTTCGTGAACTAAAGACCCTAACGACGGTGGGATGGAATCACACAAAAACTTTGACACAGCCGGTCACTCGAGCATCTCGGCTTCCTTATTTGTAAGGACTGCCGAAAATCCACAACGAAGATATCCCCTTACCACCGACTGTTTCAATGGTAGGCGCACCGTCTCAGAAGTTGCCAAATGCCTGACCAATGGAATCCAACCTATCCTAAGGGAACTAGCAGACTACAGCGTTAAAGACAGTTTTGTGGATAGAATACATCCCTAACATGGTTGCAAAGGGTCATAAGCTACCTACCAGTTCCGTTGTCCCCCCCCCCCACATACTCGATTGCTCCGCGTGCCAAAACCTTATTGGATCGATCAGCGTAATAAGCTAACGAAGAGACTCCACGCCGTTTCCCACCTATGTTCTTGAATGGTTACATTAAATTCATTTGATCACGAAGCGTTGGCGTAGACATCAGCCGTGATTGCGCACATTGTTCTAGCGCAGGTAGCTAATCATAGCTATCTCTTACGCAGTGTGTTCATTCATAAGCTGGAAAACAGGTCCCATACCTTACTTCGGCTTAATGTATATATGGTTGCGTATCGAAAATGTTGCTCCTGTGATAAGATGCCCTAAGTTTCTTCAGTTTGCCTTTGGCCTTTTTCAGTTGGGTATATTTGTCGCATTATCTATACGTGCGGCTCCTTACCACAGGTGCCAGTACATTAGTACATGCAGCAATGTTGTTGACAAATTCACCGGCAGCCATAGTCGGGTTGTCGGTTCAGAATGCTGACTCCCAATTCATAGTGCATATAAGTTCAATCACACGATGTCAACCAATGGTAACACGATCCGCAATCTAACGATTAGAACTTGGTGAAATGGTTTACCCATATGGAGATATATACTTACAATGCAAATGTCAGCATCAGCAGTCATTGTTGTGTGTTTATGAACGTTCATTTGCAAATTCGCATTGAAACACGCCTGTAGAAAACCATGTTAATCCTAATTGATTAGATATTCCGGGAATAAGAAACCTATCATCAAATTTTAACTATTCGCTGTTGTTCAAGACAGTTACATGTCGATATAACAAGATGCAACCGGTATGTTAATCTCTTGTGAAGGGTACTCGACAGTGTAGATTTCTCCATCTTCTCCCGGGTGCTGAACGCCTGCGTACATTCTGTGTCTAATAAGCTACCCAGGATTGGCAACACCGGTTAAAGCGCGACCTCGCTGCGCTCAAACGATGCCGGGCAACGAAGATTGCTAAGGGCTTGCGGCACCTCCCGCATCCGAACAACTGCAGAGACTCTGATTGCTCAGTGGACGCCACGGGGAGACCTCATAATGGTATACCAAATACTGCGTGATCGCCGTCATGTACGCGGACACCTATAATAGAGAGCACAATGTAGTGTACCGTTACTTTACACAGTATCATGCCATTCCAACACTCATGTTGGATCTGGGTCAAGCGCTTACATGTCCTGCGGTCAGTATACACCTTGTAAAAGGAGACAGTGTCTTTCGCCCATGGGTGTGCAACATCGCCCCTTAGTGGCTCCAGCATTTGTAACCTTGTCAGGTTTCTGTGTTCCTCAATTGTTCCCCACCTGTATTTCCCACTGACAATGGATGCTAACCACCAAGCGTTTGAAAGCAGCGTTTCCACTGCATCTCTTGACTACCTCAAGTTTCCATTCTTGACTTGTACCACTTTATCGCACCCCGTACTGATATGGGTTCAGTTCACACTGACTATAGGCACCGCAATCCTGTGCTTTATTCTCATGCAGGTAGGGAATCACAATTATCGCTTGCGTAGTGTTTTCATTCATATGACGAGAAACAGTTCCCGTACTTTAGGGATCCTATCTGACCTTCCACATTCATTATAAGTGATTATTGTTAAACAATGCACAATCGGCCGCGTCCAGTTGCCTGGCCAACGATCATCTCATGCTCATTGCGAGCAGCCGTGCATACTTCAGTGATCAGGCCGGGTGTGAACTCTTCCCCAAGTCAGTCACACACTACCCTTGCAACATAGCACAGTACATGCAATTTCCCTATAGTATGCAAAATAAGGACTAAGGCCTATGCATCATATGGGCATTGACGGCGAGGAGTCCAAGATATAATTACAAATGCACGTACCAATACGGGCGAATTAAGAGCGATGACTAAGTGACGGTCACAATTAACTTATACACCGTGGGAGGCAAGCGTATCTTTGATCCCACACAACAAACGTTGGTGCTATAACATGACATGCAAGTGCCACCAGACAACTGTGACACAGTCACTTTCGCAATTGACACGACAAACCCCTTCGAGGATTTTAAACTCTTCCAGTTCTCGTACAACCAGTACATACGCCAAATCGCTGGCTTCTGGTAGTTCCACGGTGATCGCAACATACAGCCGCACGGATGATTACCAAATGATGGCGAATCGCTATGAATGAGCAAGCTGCGTCGGCCCGGCGAAGTTCTGACGAACACTTACTGAGAGGAACCATGTCACATTTAGCACTTTTGGTACGATGCTTGGATGGACCAAATATCGTTCTGGCATGCGGAGAAATGAAATCACTGAGTAAAACTGGGTGCAGTTTATTAGCTGTTGTTTTCTCATATTGTGCTTCACCCCAGACAAGACAGTCAGTTAGGTGCAAATGGCATTAGTGGCGCCCTAAATTAAGTACCCACGTCACTTTATTCGTCAGATTGCAAACTTAAAAATGGTGCAGTAAGTTAATATCTGATTACCACCTAATTTCCTTCTGAGTAAATGGCTCGTTAGCACCGAAATAATCGACGCTAATGTATGCAGGTTGCTGACGAAGGAGAAAAAGACAGCGAAGCAATTTTTCGATGCAAAAAACGTGTGTTGTCGACCAGTCGCATAGGTAGGGGAAGTGGGATATTTGGGGGGAGCAAAGGTGTCGACAGATGGTCAAATACCCAGTTGTGGTAAAAACCACGTGTCAAGATTTAAAGAGAAGAGTTCCCTTTAAAAAGTTGAAAAATGCGGTAGTAAGACAAAGCTGGTCAAGGTTTCTCGAGAAGAAGCGGTCACCGTGAAAAAAGAAATATGGTGAAAATGAGCAAACGAGTATCTACTACGAAAATGACTACTTTGGCAAATCTAAAGGAGCACAATCGCTGTGCCCCTGAAGCTCAAGATTGAAAGACGGAAGGTGGCAAAATAACAAACAGCCACTCACTTAGGAGCATTTGAAAATTGATGTGATCTGTTTCCCGCTTAAGCACGTCACACACAAAATAACACAGCTGTATTCGCAGATCCATGAGAGAGACGGGGTCTTTATTATTGTTTGAAATGGGGACCAAACCTGGGAACAGAAAATGCGGTGAGCGAATGAGGAAGTGGGGGGACCAGCTTGAGACAATTGCAAGCTGTTGTAAATATTCAACATAGAAACTTACACTTGAGCGTTTCTTCTTTAAATTGAATTGGAATGCAAACCATAGCCATGAGTTGGTGCAAAACGGCACGTCGCAACAAAGTGGTGGATAAATATTCCGGAATTCTTAAATAAAAAAGTGGACGATTGAGGGGTGAGAAGCCAGAGTAGAGGAAACAGCAAGCCATTGAGACATGGCAGTGGCCGATTCCGCGAGTAGCACAATTGAGTCCATGTAGTTTTCAAGTAGTAAGCAGCATTCAAACTAAGCAAAATTATTTTAGTAAAGACGCATAGTCATGTTGACGGTAAAAAAGTGAAAAGTTGAATGAAACGAGTGACAATGTACAAAAATCTTGCCCCAAGAAAATTAGTGGAAATGAGCGTAAATGGCAGGGGTTAGCGAAATGGAGTATACTGCATTGCGAAGCAACTAGAACTTATAAGAAGACAGTTATCTGCGATGCCACTTCTGTGCAACAGAATATTGCAAGAGGGAATGCACGGTTAAGAAAGGGATTTAATATACGCAGTGAAATTCATAATGCTAAAAGTGGATTTTGACAACTGCAGATAATTGTCATAGAAAGATTTAGTGTCCGCCATTTGTGCTGAGGTAGATACAAGTTTGTGTGGATGACTAATCTGTGTGCATGGATTTAGTGGTTAAAGAGAAACTGTGTAGAGAAATTCGCGAAAAGCGCGAATATAAATCAACCGAATACTCGTTGTGAGGATAGCGATTTTCATGATTCAGCAATACAGCGCAACAACTGGCCGACTGAAATATGCGGTCGAGGATGCGTTACCGACAAAAGAGACGAGTTCCCCGCGCAAAAAACAACCAATAAAGCTGGTTAAGTTAAACAGAAGCGAAACAGGCAAGAAAAGGCGCTGGGATCAGTTACTGTACCCATATGCGGCAGTCGAGTCGCTACGCAGTGAAACCTAGTGAACATTGGGCAAACACAGATAATCGGATCACATAAAAGAGGAGCTGCCTCGCGATATATATATATATATATATATATATATATATATATATATACTGGCGGCATCCGATTCCGGACTTACCTGTCACTGTGGCCTCCATAGGCACACCTCCCGGACGCCTGCACCTACAGAGGGACCATAGGTGGCTTACGCCGCATCACCAACACACCCCATATCCAGTGTAAACCCAAAGGAATAAAACCGGGAGGCATGTGGATTGGAGCCACGTTTCATCGACGGAGCCGGCCCACACTTCTTCAACAAACAAAACGGAAGCGTTCCGGTCTAATCGGGAAAGCATGTACACTAGACGTACACAAATCAGTGGCTGGACCGTAGCCCGTTTTAAACAGGATGCATGGAACCACTCTTTGAACCTAGCACCGTCACGAGCACGCTTGACCTTGTCCCCTCCAGCAACGAGCAACCGTTTCATGGATCCAGCAATAGAGGTGGTAGGTATCAGACAGATATTTTGTCAACATTCACATCAGGTGCAAACACCCAGGGGAGCTCAATCAACACCTAAGTTTTGAAATGCAAGTATACTCATCCCGCAGACATACGCCACCTTATGGGCCTGGATTATTAAATCGAATGGGAGCGTACACATCGTGCATCTATTCCGCGTGCAATAGTGCATTCTCCTGCACCTGGGCAACCGCCCTCTTAATCAGGCCACGGAATTCCTACCGATCAACTGTGTTTTGGATTCGTAACACCTGAAAGCAACATTAGTTCGTCATAAACTCACCTTGTTCAGGTCCTGATAATGTTATTTTCGGTTGGCCCGAGTGCCGTTTCCCCGCAGTAAGTTGGCGTACAAAAGCTGTATGAGTATTCTCGTCAAATTCATTCGGTATATACGCTCCGCCGGGGGCACATGCTACTACGGCCTCGTTTATATGCCTAATCGCGATATACTGTTGGTCCAGCGAAGTGTTATGCCTATGGGGGTCTCAATGGCCAGGAACGGTGCATAATTACTGCAACGCTCCAATTCAGTGTTTTGTGCGTCGTGACGGATGGATGGACCGAATCAAGTTATGCCAAGTTGCGTGGACCCAAAAAGACCCCATTGGTGAGTCTAACGAAACGCACGTATTGTTCGACATTGTCCGTAAATCGTTGTTTATTGAGTGCATTCTATTTGACGCGCAGCTGTTCCCAACATGAAAAGTTTGGCTGTTATTCTTACCTCCAAACCGAAGTCATACATGTTCGCATTTTTACGGTCCATGAGGACATTCCGCAATTGTTCATGGCTCAGACGGAGTACAGCCTCCACAACTAGAGGTATGAATGCAGGTTGCCATGCGCTCTAGGAGTTTCCATCCCTAGGTGTCTGTATCCGCACAGTGACCGGAGCTCAAAAGCATGAAAACACGTTCGTTCGTCTAGGACGACAGTACTTAGCAGTCTCACTCACTGGGGCTTCACAATCCAAATGGACGTAGTGTCCGAACTGAGTGACCTAGAATTGTCTTCAAACGTCTATGTGAGTGTTGTTCATTGTGAAGGTAAGAACCACTTAGGCCGCTCTGTTAGCCCTCCTCTGTATGCACAGATTAAAGGCCACAAACGCGCGCGCATGTGTGTGTATGCGAGGGATTCAAAGGAACACTAATGAGTCCCTTAGATTGGTCGCCGATCCTCAAGTATTCTCATCTTAAAAGCCAACAGTAGTGGTGACGCCGCTAGTGTGAATAGGTCCGCGTTACCTCCTGGCTACCAAGCGCCTGCTGCTTACAATAATCTACATTCGTTCATGCATTCGGTTGAAGAGTAAGTTGTAGTGAATAACAATTACCCTTGGAGCTCAAGTACTGTAAAACACCTTGCTTTGGAATACAGTGTGGAATTTCGGAGTTCAAGGCCCAAGAACTTTCGTTGCAAATGCCCATACGTTGGCTCATCCGTGTAAACTGACAAATCCCGGTAAGTAACCGAGTAGCGATAAACATGCTGATGTTGATACACATGTTCTGTTCCACATATTAGTCATGAGATAGTGTAGCTATATTTCTATTTCTAGCTATATTACATCCGTCATAGTGAACTTAGGTGCGCTTAGGGAAGGCAGTTATTATGGAGGTTAGAGGCGGAAGTGCAAAGGCGCCTGTTAGAATTTGTATTAGAAATGAGCAATCCTCTGAACTGACCAAGTAGATAAGTTCAACTGTGATGGTATATTTCCATCGAAAAAGAAGTCAGCGCACGGAAAAAAACTGATTGGTAGCGCAAAATGACTGCAGCCAAGATGTATGATGAGGGATTGTTAGCAAACAGCCACATCTGCATGAGGTTGAGCACTTGGATGTTATGCAGGCTACTTCTTGTCAATATGTTAAAACAGTCTGAACACTTTCGAAAGCCGAATGTAGGACAGGACGCAGCGGAATTTACTCGATGTATTATTTCTGTGATCGCGTCAAAGAGGCCATCTAACGCATATAGCAGACGGTATCTATAACATGGACATTACTGTTTTACTGTACCTCTTACTTGTGCAGCATTCCACGTATTGATGGCATTTGCTTCCCATTTCCTATATCTGTCTCTAACAATTGTTGATACCAACAAGTTTGAAGCTGCCGTTGGGCTTCACATCCAAACGTTAACTAACCACCGACAGTCGTATTGCTTGCTTATAATTGTACGTGCGATTTTCCAAAACTATAGGAAGATAGCTGTTATTCTAACATGCAATCCAAACACATGCACGTTTGTAGTGTTACTGCTCTTGAGAGTTACTGTTACTCCACTCCATTTATGGTAGTCCCTAAACAAGTGTGAACAAATGCCCGCTCGCAACAGTGCAACTCGAAACAAGGACCTTTGGTATGTCAACAGATATCTCCACATGCAGCGAGCGGTGCTCATCAACATCTTGAATGAATAAGTGGAAACCACTAAGAAGCACTTGCAAACGCCACACTTCACTATGACAGACTGATAGCATTTTCACTTGCGTGACACTATTAAGTAATGGCTCCATGGCTAAGTGGGACTCGAGCAAATTACAGGTCACGCTAACAACTGTTTGTGTCTCGCTGCGTTTTCAGTTGACCCTGCGAATAATTGCGGGTTGCAATGTGAGGTAAATGTATGTTCTCTTTCAAGTGCCACTATACGCCTAATTTTACTGCTGCCGCCATCAGGTACACGCACTGAGATTCAGACAAGTCACCAATTTTGATTCAAAGAAAACGGCAACACGATCCTGACAGATGGACTATCCACTACTGTTACCGTTGTGCCATTGGCTCATGTGCTGGATGCCTCCTCGAGGCGACCGCTGGGTGGGAGTTGGGTTACACCCTTCTCCCTGCTAAGATCCAGGACACCAATCCGCATGAGTCAGTGAACTGACCATGTCCTAGACCCGCTGCCTTTCGGATGTACATTTAATCGTACGCTTTGGCTGAGGACACGAGTCGTTCTCCTGTCAGGTATGGGCGCCCTGCCAGTATCCTAGTCCATCCTCTTCGGAGTTTAGGAAGTGGTCGATGGTACTCTTCCCGTAAAACCTAGCTATGGGAGACAACAGGTTTAAGGGTTATAAGCTCACAGCTCGATTGGCGTAGAGCACGAGTGCCACGCATTGTCTCTGATAGTGGGAGGACACCTCCGGTTGTTCAATGGTTTGCTACTGCCCGCCTCAAGCCAGGCAGCCCCTGGTCAAATTGGTGCAAACCCGCCAAAACCCACCTGCGTCTGGCTGTGGTCACAGGTGCGTATCATAATACGGTCGCAAAGCATACATGAATCTTTCCAATACCGCTGTCATCTGCATGGCAGTGGAGGATGTGTCGGGCTATATCGCATTTAGCTAACGATTCGTGATGGTCGGATACCGTCCTCCATGGCGCAGTTGCATAAGCTGCGAGCTAGTTGGCAAGAGCCACTAGCAGTCATGGGTTCGATCCTCCGCAGAGGACCGAAGGATGAGCACCACTGATGAGCCCCAATAGGGCGAAACGGCCGTCTGGTGCTTTTCCAGATAGCAAGTTGACTTATCTGAATTGTTGGCTGAATGCGACGAACAAAATTACTCACCAGAATCCTTCCACTCATAAGTAAGAACCCAATCTGTCTCTACAATCACATCCCCGAGCCGGATCTACTCCCCC